TGATGTGAATCATGCAAAATTTATGGAAGCAATAAAACTGTTCAGCATGAGGTGCCGATGGCAGAGGAGCATTATACACCGAAACACTGGGTAGCAAAAGATAACAAGCAGAAGAAGAAAAAAATACAAGCTGAAGTCTTGCCTGGAAGACAATTCAGAGGGAAGCATGGGTGCACTGTGGTCTGGCTGCTGCTGGAGGTACCTTGTTAAACCTGAGCTCTAGCCCAGTGTTTCTCAGCGAGGGCGGTACCGCCCCCCAGGGGGTGTTCAGAGTATGTCGGGGGGGCGCTGGAAGCAATATTTTGGAAAGGTGGGGCGTTTACCTCAAGATTCACAACAATAGGAGTTTAAACTTTCAACTACTTGCAAAAAAACTAGTCTGCAACATTCAAGTTTACCCCACTGCGACAGGGCGAGAGTGTATTTTTCTGTCAGCTACTTGTGGTGTGGCTCCGTGCTGCCTTCACGGGAACAGGAAGTTAGAATATCATCTGTAAAGTTTCACACACGATGTTTACAGCGTAAACTCTGGAAAATTGGACACTCTCTTTCTTGATATTACAGTGGAAAAGCGTTTATGTCTGAGGAATACATGTTGAACTCCTCATTATCGCAGTGGTTGCACATTTACAAGAGGGATATTCGGCTGTCGGACTTCTCCTGAAAGCAACTTCAGTGTCCAGAGACGACACCAGCGAGTGCCGTGAAGTGGCAGCCAGTTGCAGCCACTTTGTGCTCGAGCGGACATAAACATAGAACGTTAAAATCTGAATCGCAAACTTGCTCTGTTTGGGACTGTGAGCTGCACTTTTTCGAAGTTAACGTCCGTGTGGATTTGTGGTGAGATTTCTGTATAATCACAGGTGTTGTCGGTTAGTTTTTGTTTTCCTGCTGCATGAGCACCTCCTCGTCTCATCCAGTTCTGTGTCTGTTAGTAGTATCCCTTCGACCGTCTGACAAAGCTAAATTCTAATTAAATGATAACGTTTGTCTTGTAATATTACGACATATCAGATCACAGAAATGTGGAAGACATTCTGAATGTGCAGAAAGTTTTGAATGTGAGCAGAAAACCTGCTAAAACAGATGAGCTATTAAAATCCAATCAATAACTGAATTAAAAGGAATTAAATTTATCACTGAGGTGAAAATGTGCCTCAAACTAATTTATAGAGGTTAAATTCCCCAAACAAAATACACAAAAGAGGAGGGAAGACTAAATCGTGTGTGTTAACTCAGCAGGGATGATATTAAGTTGATCTTCCTGAGAAACATATTTAAAAGCAATAAAGACCTCAATTTTGTGTTTCCCTTTATATAAAAACATTTCCACCATAAATTGGTGCAGAAAAGGCAGAAATTTCACCAAAATGCAAGAGTCTTTAAGTCCTTAATGCTCAAAATCTTCTGGGGGAGGGACCCCCGACCCCCAACTTATGAAGTGCCCCATTCAATAAAACAGTCTTTGGCTTTATAAATAGTTTGAGAGGAACAGTTACTTACAAATTAAATATAAAGGACTATTAACATGGCGTTTTTGTTCATCCTGCAACATCAGGACCCACGTGAGGAAATCAAACTCCGGTGACTGACTTATGCTGATCTGTATCACAAAGAGCTCACTAAGTAATAATTATAAGCATGATTACTAATTTTAAACCGCATAACCTATTATGAATAATGTAAAAACATGACAGGTAGTTCAGTAATAATACTTATTAGCCTATAGTATACTGTTGTTTTGCTGTCACAAATGATTTATGGACTTGGGTAAACAGAGTAGCCTTTTTTAAGTAGTCATATTATGCTCATTTTCAGGTGCAAAATCTCATTTAGGGGTTGTACCAGAACAGGTTTTTAATGGTTTCATTTTCAAAAAACACCATATTTTTTAATCATACTGCACACTGATGCAGCTCCTCTTTTCACCCTGTGTTGAAGGCTTCGTTTTATCTATGGAGTGATACATCTTGTCTCTAAATGATCTTTGTTGGGAGTTGCACACGCACAGTTGCTAGTTAAGGACTACTAGCCAATCAGAAGGAGAGAAGGGCGGGTCATGAGAAGCCGGTAAACACGGCTTCGGTTCAGCTGTACATGTTGCCGACCAGCTTGGTAACATAGACTGGAGCAAGAGTTTCAGAGTGGCGAGTTATTAATCTGTAACAAAAGTATCTTTCATCCATAAAATTTTTATCTGAGCTCTGTCTCTACATCACAGTAACAAATTTATGTCCACTGACTGCCTGGAGGGTAGCTGGTGTTTGGAAGGGAGAGGAGAGGCAGCAGGCGGACATCTTGTGACTGTGTGCTGCAGCTCAGTGTGTTTTTTCACCGGTGTTTTTGAGGGCGTGTTAGGAATGTTGGCGAGCATCATGACGCACATTTTGATGTGTCATCACAGGGAACAAAGGGAAAAGGCTGGACTACAAGCCAGCTGTTTTCAGGCAGTTCAGAGCAGTGTTTTCTGTGGGAGATTCCTTTGCAAACCTATTACATGCACAAAAATGCACCAGAGTTCGTTTGAAAGCGTACCGAGACCACCTCTTAAAAAGGAGGTCTAAATTCGCTTGTTTGGTCAGCTTTTGGTGCGCACCCAGTGACACAAGGTGTGGATGTTTCTACTGAAAAGCAAGCAAGTACACTCTGGCATAACAAAAAAATGTTTAGAAAACATCAGTCTGTCTCTTCGCTGTAATAAAAACCAGACAAGAAATCAGTAGAACAAAGACTCCCGGGGAGTGCATAAAAATATGCAGGTTTCCTGTCAGCCTCTACGATTCATGTATTCCTCTGAGGAACTAAAAGTCTAAACAGACACCCAACATGTTGTCAGCTGCAGCTGTGAAGGTTGACGTGAGTCAGTGCGTTTGATTTTGTATGTGCGCAGGACAAGGTGAATGGTACAGTCAGATAAAAGGGCCACAAATGCCCTACACACACACACACACACATCATCCAGATTTGACAAGGTTAGTTAATCATCTGTCACAGGGACAGGGGAACGGACAGACTCCCCTCTCCTCTGTCTGTCCTCCATCTCTCCCTCTTTATTTATCCCTCTATCTCCTCCTTTATTCCTTCATCGTCTCTCTATCCAAGGACAACTGTCCTTTTCCACCGATATTAACCTTGTATATCTCAGCACATGGTTTTATCTCTTTTTCTTTCTGTCTGCTTCCTCTTCTCTTACAATGTCTCCCCCTTTTCCCTACGTCACCGCCTCGTTCACCCTTCCATCCACTTTACAATCCTATGAGTTGAGGCCTATTCCCCTCCCTGGTAGGGACGAAGCTGTCTTTATATCATTCAGCCCTCTAATCGGCCCCACATCATTGCCTCCCAGCAGCTTAGCCCAAGGTAAATCGAGTGGTCCTTTTCATAAAGAGAGATAGAGGGGGATGGAGATAGGAAGAAGGATGAATGGAAGGATGAACAGTGGGGGGAATTTAAGACGGAGAGTTATTGTAAGCTATAAGAGGGAATGACAGAGGCGTAGAGGAAGTAAAGGAAGGGAGAATGAAGGGATGGGTGTATGAAGGTAAAAGAAGGTGGATATGGATGGATGAGTCCAGTTTAACCAGCACATTATTGGAGAGGAGAGGTGATAAATGGAAAGGAAAGTAGACCAAACCAGGAAAAGCGGGGAGGAAAAGTAACAGCAGGGATAACGTGATGTTAAGGAGAGCGTAAGACACGACAAAAAGACGCAGAGACAGAGGATGAAGTGACAAAAAAAAAAAATAGCAAAGACGGCAAAAGTAGAAGAGAAAGTGCATCGGAGGCTGTCCTGCACGGAGGCGACGAGAGGCGTGCATCTATCAGCTCCGCGCTCGCTGCGAAAAGCCGCCAGGGACGGAGACACCAGTCAACTCAGGAAATAAGAAAATGATTAAGAGCGATTTAATGTCACACCGCCGCCAAGCCAAAACGCACATCTGTCACAGGGAGACTGATGTTACTGCACCTCCCTCTCACTTCTACCCTCCCTCACTCACACTCTGGCAGTCACTCATTCATTCATTACACTCTCCCATCTCTGATGTTTTTTTCCCCATCCAGGCCCATATCATACCCTAGCAAACCCAGCCCCCATGAGCCTCCAAATCACATGTATACACACCCATTTCCTGTGGCTTCTGCTTCCTATCATCTAACTCACACACATAATCTGTTGTTAACAATTTCAGCTATGGGATTTGCTATGATTATTCCCATATGAAGCAAAACAAAAGCATGGGAAAAACTGCTGACTGATGGATTTCAAGCAGAAAATTATGGATGCGCTTGAAACCACGTGTGCATCTCTGTGAGTGTTTGCCTATATCATCACCACCTTTCCCAGTGTAACATCTCTGTTGTTCACTAGAATCTAAAAAGAAATGGATGCAGAGAATCAAGTAATCTGCTAGTGCTGTTCCCACAATGTCTTCAGACCACAATCCTGTCCAAATTACACGTGTAGTTTCCCCTTTCACTGCTCCAGTGCTCTGGTGGTCACCACAAGCTCAAGAGAATCCAAAGCCCACGCTCACAGCTTTTAAACACTGCCCCCATCAGGTTGTTTCTGTCTATTACAGTGTTGTACAGTAGACTGCTGGGGGCAGCTTCCAGTTGTGTTTTTAATGAAAGGGCTCATGAGTTCTTTAAAAGCAATTCAGAGCAAGATGTGAAGGCAACATTAAAAAGGGGGGAATACTTCCCTTTAGTTATTTCTGTGTATAAATGAACAGTCAAAACTTTATTTTCTTGGAGACAACTAAGAAAGCAAACTTGTTTCCCAGAGAAATTAACTTGTTTCTAGAAATTCTTTTTGAAAATGAGGGTCTCTATTTTGAAAAAGGTTTTTGCAGTAGAAGAGAAAAACAAAATACTATCAAGGTGATTTGAGCGCAGTGGCAATTATAAGACAAAAAATAAGAAATAGAAAATACTTATTTTTGCTGATGCGCAAACCAAAAATAAAAACATAGTAAACCCCCTGTGACCTTTGTACTCACCGTTGCATTTCCCTCCGTTGATAGGGTCGCCATAGTAGCCGGGCATACAGCTCTGACAGTGCGTCCCTGCTGTCAGGTTCCCACAGTGCTCGCACACACTGCCGTTCACACACCTGCTGTGACCATTACACTGACACGCTGCGAGGAAATTACACAAACACAGGATAGGATACAATTAGATGCTAATTTATCAGGTACATCTAGCTGTAAGTGCATGAAAATGAAAGCAATATGGGTGGGACATGAATGATATACAAGTAAGTAAGTTTTTCTTTAAGGGAGTCTGGGACGGATTTACCGCAACATTAAATTACTTATGCACAAGTTTTGCTCTGAAGGAGAAGATCTCAAAGAGGATAATAAGAACACATTAAAAGTACCAGGTGTAACAAAGGCAAGATCGGGTCACTGATTATCCAGATAATGTCTCTGGATACAGATCACATTTTAAAACCAGGTGTAAATCGAGTCTTATTATATTCAGGTCAACTTCTGTCACAGAGTATCAAATGTAAACAATATAATACAGTCACTTGAATCTGAGCAAGCGGGTCACTGACCAGGACACTGGATGAAGGCCCAGTTGTAGCCTCTATCAGACGAACAGAGACTCTGGTCCAGCACCATGTCCCGGTCTCGTAGTCTGTCTCGGTCTCGGGGCCCAGCCCTGGCAATAGCAGGCTTCAGGGGGCCTCTGTAAGAGCCTTCCATGCAAACACCCTTGCCGGTGTTACTGGGATCACCACACCAACCGCACTCCGCCCTCTCCAAACACTCGGCACATGTCCTCAGACCTGAACAGTTCTGGGCTGTAGAAGAGATGTGAGACAGGCAGAGATAGAGGAAGAGAGAAAAAAGGAGAGAAGGAAGAGAGACTAAAGTTAGTTGAATACATGAGTGTGTTAGGTTCCTGGTTTTGTTTACAAATTGAAAAACAAAAATAACTACCATTATACTAGAGTACAAAATTTGTAGTAAGACTTTTTCTATCTTTGATCATTATTCACACAAACAATTATCCTCTTTAGTTCCCAGTCAGACCAGAAAGTGGCACAACAAAAACTGTTTGCAAATGTTTGTCAGTGCCTTTCAAAAACTGTTACAAATGACCGTTACGAAAAATGATTCATATAAGCCTTTTCTGATCTGCCAATGCTACAGTTAAGGTTGGTCGGGTCAAATAAACTACTCGGCTCGGGTTAGGAATAAACCACGGTCAACAATGACTTGGCAGGAAATGGGGTGGTTGTAATCGCCAGTGTCACAGTAGTAAGACACTTTGTACACCTGATCTTTCACCTCATGATCCTCCAGAAGAGGTTTTTCTGAGCCATAACGAATACTGTCCTTTGCAATTTGGTATAGAGATACAAGTCGTCGCAGGTCAATTGTACAGAGGTCATTTTAGACATTAAATAAAATTACCTTCAGTGTTTTGTTTTGGTCTGAAGAGACTCAAAATAAGTGGAAATTGTGATTTGATGTAGAAGAGAAAAACTCTATTGGCACACAGTCTTCTAACTTGTATATTTTGTTAATTTCATGGTTTTATATTTATGTCTACTGTTACGCACCTAGTCACCGATGCAAATTTCTTGTATGTCCAAAAACTACCTGGCAATAAAGCTGTTTCTCAGTTCTGACTCTCAAGGGGCGGAGCATCTAACATTGGATGGTGAGACACAGGATGTTGTATAGTAAGACAAATCGATCATCAAAATTCATTAAAGCACCACACGTATTAACTGCCACTCCAAAGATGACTCCACTGATATGAACACATTTTGAGCCAACATTTTACTGTTACAGAATACATGCTGGGACCACTGGACCCTTACTATGGTTTAATTCCTGTTGAAACTGATTGTTGTTGATATTAGGGAGGGCCATAAGCCATGAGCGATCAATCTTAATGTAAACCAATACAATATCAATAAAGACAGAAAAGCGGTTTGATGTGATAGGATGGACAGAAGGATAACAAATTTGATGCTTCTTTGATAAGATTTTATTTTCACACAAACGCAGAAAGATTAAGGTCTTAAAGGTGTTAAATATTCTCTATTTTCCAGAATCTTACATTTTTGTATCATTGTTTCTTTAATTTTTCACAAACTTCATTGAAAGTATTTATATAAGTGATTTTAAGTGCATGACAATGACCTTTAATGCATTGCTCAGTCCTATTTTTAGTGCTACTATATTTAAACCCAAACATTTAAACAACGGCTATGTCTACATTATTTCATAGGGTTGAAAGTTAATGGTCTTTAAGGCACATTCTGTACATATTCTGTCCTTCACACTGTAGTATAGTTAATCAAAACAGCTTCAAAGAAAGCATAAACACAATAAAAGCCTTTGGGGATATAATCTACCTCCTCTAATGTACTTTGCGTCTTTTGTTCTCACCTTTTCTTTGACCCTCAACATTTATAAAGAAATTGACTTTTGTTGCACCATTCCATGTGTTGAGAAATACATTTGTATTCATCAAGTGGATGTGACATTCAAAAATACTTTACTGGTGCAAATTAAAAAATGACACTTTTTTCTTTTTAAAATGGTATGGCATTCAATACTTGTAAAAGAAAATAAATCTCCAAACAGAAGCCCTTTTTTGTTGCAGAGAATAGGCGGGACAAGAATAACAAATCATGTGTTTTTTCCCCTGGAGAAGCTGGCCTTCCAAAGTTAACTTTACAGACTGTTTTGAACCTTTCAGTCTTGTTTTGCTCTCATTCTCAACGTCAGTTCGTCTTCCCGTCATAATAAATTTTAGTCTACAAAGCGAGGGTGGGAATACACAGTCAGAGACAAAGAGAGAAAGGTAAGACTCTGTGGGTATCTTGGCGTGTACACAGGAAACCTAAAGGTTGAGAGAAGGTGTTGTTTCTTAAAGCCCAGCGAGATGATTCAAATGCAGCATCAAGTAAAGTAGCATTTTCACCAGAAGTTCTCTTTTGAAAATGAGCCATTTCCATAAGCCACAGATGTTCTAGCTGAACCTGTATCTCTTTCTCTGTGTCCCTGCAAGCTAGCACTGCTTGAAATAACCCCTTGTGTCCTCTGTATGTTTGCAAGCTCCCCGTTGCATTATTCAACTGTAGCAATGCTGATTCATTTGTTCTCTCTCCCTCTTTATAATTACAAACTTCTGCTCTCCATTTCTGAGACTCACTCTTTATCTCCTCGCTGCCACATTTTTATCCCCCTCTTTTGCATCTTTTTCCCCCTATTTCTATTCACAAAGCCATCTTCCCCTCTTGCGCTCATTCCAAGCTGCTTTCTTCACCACTAGCCTATCCTCCATTATTTCCTGTCATTTTCGTTTCATTTGATTTTTTTCATGGATTACTTTAAAACACTTTGGGCACAAATGACATCACCAAGGATGGAAAAGTACTTTTTCCTTCATTTTCTTTTTGTCGCTCCCCCTACTGTGTTCTTCCCTCCAGTTTTCACTTTCACCTCCCCTTATTTCCTCTTCTTCTGACAACTCACTGGATCCCCACTATAGTCAATAGTTCAAAGAGTCGGTTGAACAGAATAACCCTAATCCACCACACAGTAGGGATTCTACTGCTAGAAAAGCACATTTACATACCCAAGAGCAGACTTTAATATCCAATAAATATACCAGATCTGCTATCATCTTAAAATATGATTCAAATTTCAGGGAAATTGGTAGCCACTGTGCAAATATAAAAATATTAAATATAATGAAATTTTTTGCTTCTCTTTAAATTAATAGATCCAATTTGTACCCACTCAGTGGCATGATTAGGCTTGCAGTGCCGGCTCAATTTGTGCTTCACCCATAATGATCGAGCATTGCTCAATAGTTACTTGAGTCCACTTCATTTTAACTTGAACCTTTCCTCAACCTGTTTGGACACTCCACTGTACATTGGTCTGCCATTGGTATTTGCTTCTAATATATATATATATATATTTCATTATACCTTTAACATTATTGGATTTTTTCAAGACAGTCTATTCCCCAACCCAATCAGTCATGCCCATTTCTGCCTTGTTAGCTTGTAATCTTTTTACTTCTTGTACCAA